TGTTCGAGGGGGCTGTTGCAGGTCTGTGGGCCTGCTTTCCTTCCTTGAGTTCCTTCCGCGAGCTGCCTCTGTGCTTGGGTCCGTGTCTGTGCGACTGTCTTCAGCCCTGTGAGGGAGTAAGAGCAGTGCTTGGCCTTGGCTGGCTGCTGTAATGCCTTCAGGGAGCCGTGTGAAGGAGTTCGGGTGTGTTTAGAGCTTTTCAGGAAGAGAAGCTGTTCTCTGGCTGTCAGGGTAGCTGTGTGTCACTTTGTATTGGCACCATAAATGAAGTGTGTTGATAATAGGTGTATTTAGAGGCAAGGGTACCCTTGTTTTCTCATCTGAGCACCTTTCTGGGGGCTGGCTTTGACCCTGCCTTGATGCTTACCCTATCCTCAACCTATTTCTTAATCCTCTCTGCAGGCAATTAAGTAAGCCACAGGCTTCCCCGTGATGACCAGCCCGGTGACACCGTAGCCGAAGTGCACTTGTCCTGCCAAGGGATTTCAACGTGGTGCTGCTCCTGGTGGGTTGAGTCATGCTGTGAACCAAGCTGTGCTTTCTTAATTACTCTAATCCTTTTAATAATAATCATATTATAGCTAAGGTAGAGGTGGAGGTTGATCCAGTGGGGTGTTGCCCCTCAGGGGCTTGGGTTTGCAAGGTGATGTTCCCCCTCGGGCATGCTCCGGCAGCTCTGGGCTTTCTAGGTGAGGCTGACTCACAGACGGGTGACTCGCCTTCCTTTGGGGCACCTCCTTGGGTGGTGAGTTGATTTTTGGGGTGGTGGCAGCAGTGAAGTTGCTAGTCTCAGGGTGGGAGAGGGGGAGGGGATTAATAAGAGGCGGTTGATCGAATAGGTCAAAATGGGACAAGTGGTGCCTGACCCGTGGCTGACAGCTGCTGTGGGGCTCAGTGCTGCTTGGCCTTGGGCTTTTTCCTTAGTGACTTGGCCACTGAGGGACTGGCTGGTGGCTCATGCTTAGTGCCTGGAGGAGAGAAAGGCAGCTGGGATGGTGGCAGAGTGTGGGGGGAGCTCAGTGTTTCATTACCTTCCTGGAGACAGGCCACCTTCACGTGCCTCAGGTTCCTCTTGCTTGCTGCCTTGTGCCCACCAGGCAGACTGTCCACTCCTTCACAGCCCACGGTGCCTTCCAGGGCTCGTAGATGTACATAGTGGGGAAATCCTTGAGGACAGGGAGGTATTTTCTATGGTGAGGGGCCAAAGCCACCAGGGAGACCACCACCCCAATCTCCTGTGGCTTTGAGTGTTGTGCCTACTGAATGTACACCCGGTTTGTCTTCTTGCCGAGGGCAACAGGCGAGTAGACACGGAAATATCAGTGGAAGAAGGCACTGCCTGACGACCACAGCTAGTTGCTGGGGTTTAGGGACCAGTCGATGTCCAGCAGGAGCTCTTCCAAGACCTGTGGGACACTGCAGTGGCATGGGGACAGGGTCCCTGAGAGCCCAGCAGGCACCAGTGGGTGTTGGGGGAGAGACCTTCAACTCTTCTTCCCAGGAGACCCAAAGGTCCTCACGGGTGAGGAGGCAGGCAACAGCGTGCCAAGCAAGGCGGTGGATGCAGCTGTCAGGGTGCAGCTGGGTCGTGACAGTGTTGAAGGGGTAGCCTGTCTGGCCCTGGTGTGGAGCATTGAGGTTAGATGGGGTACAGGGACGTTCTTGGGGGGGTTGGAGCATTTGGAGCTTATCCCTGAGGGAAATAGCTCCCTCCAGGCACAGAGGTACTTGTGGTTGTTGTCCCAGTTGACCTGCAGGCAGGGTTGCTGACCATCTGGTTGAAATTGGGGGTGTTGGTGGTGTGGAAGAACTCCCTCCAGAGGAGCTGCCTGTGCAAAGAGATGGGAGGCTGGGAGTGCTCCTGCTGCTGGCGAAGGCAGGATCAGCCCCACTGACTGGGCTGGCCCCTGTCTTCTCCACCCCTTCTGCCAGGTCATTCTGGCTCACCCTCTGCCCCCCACCCCAAATATGCCGCCTTACCCCCTGGTAGACCTTGTCCAGCTGCCACCAGAAGGTGCAGACTGACAGGCAGCCGAGTTTGAGGTAGGGGCTGAGGTTGGTGGTGCTGGGACTGAGTGAGGTGGGCTCTCTCTTGGGCTTCTTGAAGCTGCACATCCAGGTCTGGATGAAGGACACACAAGTATCATGTTTTGGGGTGGAGGGGAGGTGAAGCAACCCCAAAATTAGGGTGATGGGTGCCGAGCACTGACCCATCCTCTCCATGAGTGTGTTGAGCCAGGTGAGTGCTGCCATCTTCGCGCTGAGGTAGAGGTGAGGACTCACCTTGTTTGGGTCCTGGCCCAGCTCCTCCAGGGTGGGGACCTTGGCATCATGGCAACCTGGGATGCCGTGTATGGTGGGACTGTTATGGCCATCACTCCGCTCCAGGGTGAACAGTGAGGGAAATGTTGACCCAGCTTCATGCTCTACCCTCCCCAGGTCCACCCCATGCTCACCCTGTGTGGGCACTGTGGCCGGCTTCTCCAGGGGTCCGAAGGATGCCAGGAGGCTCTGCAGGCACTTGTAGGTTGGGGGGCTTTGCTGTTGTTCAGGGCGAGGACTCTGGGGTGGGAGAGGGAGGGACACGCTCAGCAGCGGGGCTGGATTCCCCTGTATCCCAAGGGACAGCACCAGGCACCCACCTCTCGGTGTCATAGAGGGTGCGGGACACCTCCCGGATCACCTCCACCCTGTGCCAGGCTGCCGGATCCGCTACGGCATCATCGCACTGGTGGACGGAGGGTTCAGTGTCCACCTCAAAGGTCAGCTGTGGTGTCCTCCAGGCACGGAAGAAATGGGGGAACACCTTCCCCGTGCCACAAGCAGCCTGCTGGGGAGCTGGGTGGGCACAAAGTCCCTTGAGAGCGCCCCCAAAGTCCTCCGGGATGGCACCGGGACTCACCTGGAGCCTGTTTCCTGCAGGCTGCCATCCCTGCCCAGCTGCTGGAGGGGTTGAGGATGAAGAGGGGATGAAGGCAGTGGCAATGGGTGGGCGCTGCCAGCAGTGCTGGGTGGTTGTGCAGCCGGAGACCTTTCTGAAACGAGTGGATGGAGCTGTGCTGCATGGCTGGGGGGGTCCTGAGGGACTGCGACCTGGGAAAGGAGAGATGGGATGGGGGTAGGTTTTTTTGGGGAAAAAAGTGCCTTATTTGGTAAGTTTGATTTGTAAAATAAGGCAAGAACAGCAGAGGTGGACCCGTGGTTATAAAACCAGGGAGGGAAACGGATCTGGGCTTGCCAGTGTGTGCTGGTGAGGCCTGAGCACGGTGACACCCTGCCACTGGTGGCATGTGGCTGGTGGCGGATGTGGGGGGGAGGACCTG